CTTCTCTTTACTTCACCCTCTCACCCTCTCAGACAATGGCAACAGATGAAAACACAGTTCCTCACCCTCTCACCCTCTCAGACAATGGCAACAGTTGAAAACACAGTTCCTCACCCTCTCACCCTCTCAACAACCCAACAGATGAAAACACAGTTCCTCACCCTCTTCTTCTTTCATTCTTCTCTCCTGCATCACCCTCTCAGCAACCTTCTCTTTGCTTCACCCTCTCACCCTCTCAGACAATGGCAACAGATGAAAACACAGTTCCTCACCCTCTCACCCTCTCACCAGCTCAGACAATGGTAACAGATGAAAACGTCTTTAAGCATATCACTCTTTAGCATCCCACCCATTAGCCACAAGCTCATGAATGCTTATTACCACCTTAGCCCACAGTTTATCCCTATCTAAGGGTAACCTCCACAACCATTTCCCCAACAGTGCCACATTCCTCTTCTGAATATTCCCAATGCCAAGACCACCAAATTTTTTACTTCTACAAACCATCTCCTAAGTCCCAACTAACCCTATGGTCCTTCTTTTCCTCCCCTGGTTCCTATAGGAAATCCCTCATTACCTTTTCCAACTTTCTACTCACACCCTCCAGAATCTTGAATAAAGAAAAAAATAAAAATAAAAAAAATAAACACAAGCAAGTTGGCTAGAGTAGATCTAACCAATCCTACCACCTAACAATAGATAAATTCTCTTCCACAAAGCAAATCTTTTAGATATTAGCAACTAGTGGCTAGAGAATATCTAAAAACACAGGCAAGCTGGCAAGTTTTAAAATATTTTTCAATGGATGACAATGTTAGATATTGGCAACTAGTGGCAAGCTTCCCATTGTCAAGAATTTATTCTATTTCTTCTTGGTCCCCCTTGATTTCTAATATCATCAAACTGAACTTTGACAGATGTAGTTTGGGGAACCTTGGAATTTCAAGTATAGATGGAATGATAAGAAATTATGGTGTGCCACACTAGCTTTGTACTCTGGACCTAATTGATATGGTGTGATTCAACTCAAACTAAATTAACTACAGTTTTACAAAGGCTAGGACTGGATAAATATTATATAATTATGGACCGGCTAAAAAAGAATACCACAAACTCTTCGGAATATAAAGACAACATGAGGGAGGTTGAACAACTAACTACAGAACTGGGGACAAATAATAATGGGACTCCAAGATTTTTCAAGATATGGCAAGTGGGTTAGCAAGACAAGGTGTAAATAGAAACCAGTTGTACTAGGGATTAACTCCCCAAGGTGAGAATATGTGGAGATTATTCACATTAGGGTGATACATTGGTTAAAAACTTTGGAATTGTTTGCAGATTTCTCAGTTGATGAGATGCTAAGGAATTGGAGGGAAATTGCAGAATCAACTTCAGCTAAGAAAGCTTCAAGTTCTTGTTGGACCCCTCCACCTTGCGGCTTTATCAAACTGAACTTTGATGGCAGTAGCTTGGGCAATCCAGGGCCATCCGGAATAGGGGGAGTGATAATAGATGAAAAAGGGAATCCGTTAGCTATGTATTCTGGTCCAATTGGGGTGGGAGATTCCTTGAGGGCTGAGATACTAGGAGCTCTTGAAGGGGTACAAAGGGTCAAAGACATGCACATTAAGAAATTGATCATAGAAGGTGATTCTGAAATTGTAGTGAACTGGTTAAAAGAGGACAATTACAAGCTCTAGAATTACAGCAACGAAAAGAGGAAATTTAAGTGGCTGACTAAGGACATTGAAGTTAGTTGTATATGGGTAAAGAGAAGTGCAAACTCATTGGCAGATGGTTTAGCTAGGAAAGGGGTGAACAGAAACTCTATTTTTCGGGCTGTTTTGTAATTGATTTACAGTTTGGGTGTACATTGATGTATTAGGGAGTTAAGATTCTTTAGCTCCTTAGCTATGTAATTTCTCAATCTTTAATGAAATTCACTGTTATTGATAAAAAAAAGGTGAGAATATGTTGAAGGAAATTAGAGGGCAGGACAGTAGGGGCTATGCCAATCTTGGGGTGGTTGGTACATTACTATTTGTACACCACTCTTTTTAGTGAAAATCAGTCTACCCCACCTCAGAAATTTTTATTTTATTTTGCAAAACCCCCAATTATCACCCACCTGTCACTGTTACAAACTGTGACAATTTTTGGAGGTGGAGGAATCAATAAATTGCCCTTATCTTCATACATAAATAAAATATTCACTGTTGCCGATAAAAAAAATTGAAGCCGATTCCCATTTTTCCCATGACCTAGATAAATGTAACCACAACCGCATCCTTAACCCACAGTTCATTTATGAAGCCCACTACCACAGGCCAATATGAAATGGTATAGAGAGAATATTCTAAAATGGTTTTTATCTTGTCTTTATTTACTCAGAGTCATAGCAGGGGTCATTGCTTGGAGGAATGGTAAAATCTCAGGCTAACAAGCTTGCAAACAAGGATTCAAGTCTGGGAATGGCAGGACCATAATGGACTTACTCTACTTTTTTGTCCAAGCTAAGGTTTTCCCTATGAGCAATCCTAGTGCTCAATCATAAGGCTACATGCTCCATGTTTCCCAAATTAATGGAAGAATTCATCCTGCAACATGCTGCCTTGAGACTTGTGAGGGAAGAGATCCCTCAAATAGTGCTGAGAAACCATCATCTTTCTTGGGATTGGAGAGATTAAAATCCTGAGGTTGAAGAGGACATAAGACTCTACTCTATATGTCCACCTTATATTGGACACCCCTGCCTTGGAGTGCATACCACATCAGTGGGCTTATAATGCCACATCAATAAACATGTTTTGCCTAGTCTGAGAAAAGAAGACACCAAAAATGATGCCAAAAGATGCAAAGTCTGAAGAGAAACTTTCCACAACATGCTTATTTCTTAGCAATTATTATTGCTTAAAAGACAAAGTTTGGTTGTCATATCCACAGCTCCAAAGGAACTTCTTATGGAGGGGTTGGGAAGATGAGAAGAAAATTTAAATTGTAAATTGGGAGCAAGTGTGCCTTCCTAAGGATGTGGGTGGACTGAGAATTAGGAAGTTGAAAGAATTTAATTCTGCTCTTCTCAATAAATGGTTATGGAGATTTGCTTCTGAGAGGAATGCATGGTGGAGGAGTCTTATTGCGGCAAAGTATGGAGTGGTATGGGGTGATTGGAGAACTCTAGATCCTCATCCAATTGGGGGTAATTCTCTTTGGGCAGACATCTCTAAGTACAACACTCTTTTTATGAATGGGATCAATATTAAGGTTGGTAAAGTGGACAGAATCAAGTTTTGGAAGGATCCCTGGTGTGTGGAGGGTCCCTTGGATGAAGCCTTTCCTCGTTTGTTCCAAATTGCGGTGAATCAAGATTCTTCAGTTGCTGATAACATTTGCATCTCTGGGGATTCCACCATTTGGACCCCTCTCTGTAGGAGGAATTTGTTAGATTGGGAAGTGGAAGAGTATGTGGTACTGTTGGGGCTGCTTCAAAATCAGAGAATTGATTTGAGTTTGGAAGATGAATGGTCTTGGAAGTGGAATGTAGATGGTAGCTTCTCAGTTAAATCCCTTTTTCTTAAGGTGTGCAGTTCAGGTCAGGAGAACTTCCCTACTAGGCAGATTTGGAATCCAACTTGCCCCTCCAAGGTCAACTTCCTGGTTTGGACAATGGCTCTGGATAAATGTTTGACTAGGATTAACCTGGAGAGAAGGGGTGTTCAGATTCTAGACCCCTCCTGTGTTTTATGTGGAAACTGTGCAGAATCTATAGAGCACTTGTGTATCCACTATCCGGTTTCCTCTTCAATCTGGGGACATTTTTTCAAGAAGTTGGAGATTTGCTGGTCTATGCCAAATCCTCCGAAGGAGCTGCTAATGTGTTGGAGAATGGAGGGTCTCAGTAAGAAAGGAAACCTTGTTTGGAATACCATTCCGCAAGCTGTTCTTTGGTCCATTTGGACTGAAAGAAACAACAGAATCTTCTGTGATCAATCTAAAAGCCCAGAAGAAGTAGTGCAGAAAGTGGTGGGTAAGATTTGTTCCTGGGTGTCGGTGAATGAGGAATTTAAAAATCAGAATGTATCTCACTTATTTTGCACTAAATCATGGATGTACTTGTAATCTGTTTTGGGCCCAGGTAGATCTAGTGGTCTGGGCCTTGTTGTAATCTTCTTTTATTCTGGATAAATTACTTCACCTTTTTCCAAAAAAAAAAAATATCCATACCCCATATATCCACCTTATCGCAGACGCCCCTGCCTTGGAGCACATACCACATTAGTGGGCTTATAATGCCACATGAATAATCATGCTTTGCCTCGTCTGAGAAAAGAAGACATCAAAAACGATGCAAAAGATGCAAGTCTGAAGAGAAACTTTCCACAGCATGCTTATTTCTTAGCAATTATTATTGCTTAAAAGGCAAATTTTGGTTGTCATATCCATAGATGCACTGATACTTGCATTTAGAAGTAAAACCAGAAGCAGAAACCCAGAAAATCTGAATAGTGTCAGATTCAGTGATCACTGAGGAATAGGATTCATGGATTCAGTAGCACAAAACATGAGCTCATGAAGAAACCTTTTTGAATGGTATAACATCCCTACAGACAAGGCAATTAGTGAATGTTGTTTTATATTCGCCAATAGAGAAGCTTTTTATTCATTATGGTAGAAAATATAACATATGGAAAATGTTGATGTACATATGGAAGGGAAGTGGCAAAGAAAATCCAGAAGAGCATAGAAGTCTGACAGGAGCAAAACAAAAAAAGCAAGTCCATTAGGAGCAAACACTACTCAAAAATATAAAATCTTTCAAATGCAGAATGTGGGATGGTGACTCAAAAACTAAAAGACAATCAAAAGATTGGGACAGAATGTGAGAATTCAGCAGAGAATCTGACACACATCAGAATCTTGTTTGAAAAAACCAGGAGTTGACTGAAATGTTACAAGAGCATTGAGAAGAAAGATTCCAATGTACTTATAAGGCATACCCTTGGTTCACCCTGTGAAGCTAAAATGGTTCTCAGAAGATCAAATGGATATGATCCAACAGTTGCCGCACATCCAGCTAATGCTCCACTTATGTAAGACAAGTAAGGGCTCAAATGAATGTGATCCTCTGCATTGTAAACGAAAGGTTACAAAAAAGAAAGAAATCAGACAACACAAAGAAGGCATGAAGCAACATGAACAAAATGGGTGTCGTATCCATGTCAGACATGTGTACCACCAACATACAACCCTTTAGGGAACCCTTCTCTTAGGATAAAATTTGGACATGAATGGTAATTTTTTGATACTTTATAATTTAATATAATCAATCTTTGTGTAGTGCTGTATGCATTGATGGATAGCATTATCACAATGATGATAATGCTACCCAAAGAGTTTGATGATTATGCCATAGGTAGCTGTAATTGATCAGGAAGTGGTGAATTTAGAGATGGGTTGGGTAGCATTATCACGATGTATTTGGGGGAGGGGGGAAGCAAACTCTTTGTAAGTTGGGCTTTTTTCTCGGTTACAAGGCCTTAAGTTTGCCACCCACCTAGGATGGAAGGGCTTGATTGTTGAAGGGAGCTGCACAGTGGTAATTGGACAAATGTTGCTTAGCACAGATGGACCCAGGACCCTAAGAAATTTCAAGAAGCCAAAGCAGTAACCTCTGAAGTCTAATCTAAACATATCATTCAGATGGATCCCAGGTCAATTAACGATGTGGTTGACTCACTAGCAAGGTAAGGGGTGTGGATAGGTCTTCATTACTATTGGAATGTCAAGTGCAAGGATTCAGCTATTTGGCTGATTTATTGAATTCACATTTTACATTATATTGAGTATAATGGATCAGCTAAAGATATCTATCGTTCCCTGCCCCTAAGTCATCCTCAAGCACAGGTTTTCTTATTTCTTCTTTCAATAATATAGCACTCTGATCATTGTTACTGATAAAAATAAAAGGTCCCAATTTGAACGCATCCCACTTTTGATAAACTGAGCAATCCCCAGTAGGCTCTAAAGACAAGAAAATAAACTTGTTCATAATGGCAAAAAGTGCATATGCATGGGTAATTAGGTATTCTTGTCCTTTCAAATACTTATGGCAATTAGGTGGCTCCTTAAATAAAAAGTAATTCCCCAAACACCACCCAAAAAAACTAATAGTTGAATCTAAATATTATGGGCACAAGGTATAAGTCAAAAGTATGCATTCATATTTAGGGGCTATTTGATAATGGCTGAAGCAGCTGAACTAAATGACTTAATTGTTTTTGCCTTTCAGTGGACAAATCATTTAAGTAGATTGTCAGCTCCTTTGATGAATGAATGTGGGTTGGCTACTATACTGCCAAGTATTTTACTATATAACTATTGTATCCACCAAAGGACAAAGCAACAAGTCATTCAGGTCAGCCACAGCAGATGTTATCAAATAGCCAACATGACAAAATCATTATTGATTTTATTATCATTTATATATTGAACATTAAATTGCAATCCTTATAAACTTCAGCACTCAATGATCCAGATAACTTCTTTCAAAAATGGACCAAGAATATCCTAGAACAAATTTCATCAGAATGTTCCAGAAGAAAGTATACCTGTCTTTGATGAACCTGCTGCAAAAGTTTTCAATTTATGCAACACTGTAAATTGTATGGCAGTGTAAGGCATAACCATAAGTAGCGCCGGTACATTACCTCGCCAAAAACCCTGTCAATATGTTATAATGTATTCAAAATATGCTTGGTTGTTTGCTAAAATGTAGTTCACATCACCTTAAGAGCAACTAACCATCAATTGGAGACTGAACAAGGGATATATAAAGATGCCTCTATTAGAGAAAAATATTATAAGCATCCTAGCATTGTTCTAGGACTTCCATCCCAAGGTTTTTCATTTCAAAAGAAATAATTGCATTAATATTTATTTAGCCATGTAGTTCAACAGTAATTAAAGAGAGAAAAAGGGAGAAGGAAGAGAGAAGGAAGAGAGAAGAAAGAGAGTTCTATTCAGTTGTAAGACTGGTGGTGCCTAAGTTAATATTTATACTTAGGGCAACAGCTTATAACAAATAACATAGGAAAAAACCAAAAATACCCTTACTAGGCCGCCACATGTTACAACACTCCCCCTCAAGTTAGAGCATATATGTCAATCATGCCCAACTTGTCACACAATTCATTATGTCGCAAATAGTGAAGACCCTTTGAAAGGACATCAGCTAATTGTTCCTTGGAATTGATGTAAAGAGTACAAACATCCCCCTTTTCAAGTTTTTCCCTTATGAAATGCTTGTCAACTTCAATATGCTTGGTCTTGTCGCGAAGAACTGGATTGGCTGCAATATTAATGGCTGCCTTGTTGGCACAGTAGAGAGACACTGGACCATCAACAGAAAAGCCCAACTCTCCAATCAAAGTTTTTACCCATAGCACTTCAGTAACTCCATGTGCCATGGACCTATACTCGGCCTCAACACTAGATCTAGCCACTACACTTTGTTTTTTGCTTCTCCAAGTGACCAAGTTTCCACCAACAAAGGTACAATATCCACTAGTTGATTTCCTATCATCAACTGCTCCAGCCCAATTTGCATTTGTGTAGACTTCCACTTTCATATGACTATGTTTCTTGAAAAGTAACCTAGTTCCTGGATATTTCTTTAGATATTTGAGTACTCTCTCAACTGCCTCTAAATGGGAGGTTGTTGGTGCATGCATAAACTAAGGACACCAACAGCATAAGCTAAATCTGGTCGAGTCATTGATAGGTAGAGAAATCTTCCTACCAACCTTTGAAACTTCTTGACATCTGTCACTGGTTCTCCAGTACAATCACCAACCCGATGGTTTTCCTCAATAGAGGAATCTACAGGCTTTGCTCCTAATTCTCCCGTGTCCTGCAAGAGATTTAGGACATACTTCCTTTGGGAAATGAAGATGCCATTTTTTGAGAGGGCAACCTCAATACCAAGGAAATAATGTAGTTGTCCCAGATCTTTCACCTCAAACTGCATAGCAAGGGATTAACTTTTTGAATCTCAGAGTCCCAATTCTCAGTAATAACAATGTCATCAACATAGACAATCAATACCACAACATTCTTCTGGTTTCTTTTGACAAATAGAATATGGTCAGATTGGCACTACTTGAACCCAATTTGTTGAAGAGCCAAGTGAAATCTGCTGAACCGGGCCCTTGGGGATTGTTTCAAACCATATAAAGATTTTTTAGTTTGCAAATTTTCCCTTGACACCCTTGTGCTACAAACCAAGAGGTTAAATCATGTAAATTTCTTCTTCCAGATCCCCATTCAAGAACGCATTTTTGATGTCCAGTTGGTAGAATTCCCAATCAAAGTTAATGGCCAAGGATAGTATAATCTAAACAGTGTTCATTTTAGCAACTAGGCAAATGTTTATGCATAATCGACCCCATACACCTATGTATACCCTTTTGCAACTAACCTGGCCTTACATCTCTCAACCGACCCATCTGCTTTGTGCTTTACTGTGAATACCCATTTGCACCCCATTGGCTCCTTGCCTTCAGGAGGATTCCCAACTCCTAGGTGTTGTTTTTGTGTACAGCACCAATTTCTTCCTTCATTGCATATGTCCATTCAGGTATAGACAATGCCTCTGCAACACTTTTGGGAATGGAGACACAATCAATGGCAGTAAAAAAGGCACAAAATGAGGGTGCAATGTTTTCATAGGACAAGAGCTAAACAATAGGATGCTTAGTAGTACATGATCTAACTCCTTTCCTATGAGCAATTGGGACATCAAAATCATTAGTAGAATCATCAATAGCAATAGGTTTAGTAATGTCAAAGGGAACAAGGGTACCTAGATTTTCCTTCAAGAAGTCAAATGGTGCTAGATGTATAATCTCAAGCTGCTCCATAGCCTTTGAATTCAATTGTCCTTTGCCTCAAGAAGACACAGAATGGAAAGGAGTCAGGAATAAAGGGAAAAGGAATTTGAGGAGCTTGCCTCTCCTCCTTCACACTGTTCTCCCCCTGAGGAGATGCTTGGAAAAAGGATTCATATTCAAAAACGGACACATCCATCGATACAAAGTACTTATGTGTGATAGGATTGAAGCATTTGTATCCCTTTTGGGAAGATGAATAACCCAAGAAAACACATGGAACAAACTTAGGATCCAATTTACCCCGATTTGGAGATAGATCATGAACAAAACACTTACAACCACACACGTAGGGGAATAGAGAATAAAGGGGATTGAGGGAAAAGAAGTTGATGTGGGGCCTTGTATTGCAAGAGGTGTGATGGCATATGATTGATAACATAAGTTGCGGCCATCATAGCATCAACCCAAAAACGTTTTGGAACATGCATGAGAAGCATCATATTGCGGACAACTTCAAGAAGATTTTGGTTCTTCCTTTCGGCAATGCCATTCTGTTGTGGTGTTCTAACACACGAGCTTCTATGAAAAGATCCATGAGAGGAGAAAAACTCAGCTAAGTCATGATGGAAATATTCCTTCACATTTTTCGATTGGAAAATTTGGAATTCAACATGAAATTGAGTAAAAACCATGCGGTGGAAATCTTGCACAATCTTGAGTACTTCTCTGGAATGCATAGGATATATCCAAGTGTATCTCGAATAATCATCAATAAAGCTGATAAAATACTTGTACCCACCCTCAGTAGGTATGTTTACAAGGCCCCAAACATAAAAAAGGACAACATGGAAAGGCAAAGATCTTTTATTATTTGATGGAAAAGTTGTTCTACAATCTTACTCAATTGACATGTTTGACAATGTAAACTAGTGATAGACATAGACTTGAACAACTCAGGGAACATAACTTTCAAAGACTCAAAGGACAAATGACCAAGGCGATTATGCCACAACCATAGTTGACTTTTTTTAGATTGACTCATAAGACTCACAAAAGCCGATGCCACAGGACCATCTTTATTCTCCAAGATGTAGAGGCCATCAACCATATCTCCTTTACCAATCGTCCTCCCCGAGGTTAAATCCTGGAAAACACAAGAATGAGGAAAAAAGGTTACACAACAGTTTAAGGATTAAGAAATACTACTTATTGATAACAAATTAATAGGAAGTTTGGGAACATGAAGGACATGGGGTAAAACAAGGCCATCAGGAAAGGATACAGATCTCTGACCAGCAATAGTGAATAGAGACCCATTAGCACGTCTCACTTTATCCCTTCCAGAGAGAAGAGTGTAGACTTGAAATAAATTTGACTTACCAGTCATATGGTTTGATGTCCCTGAGTCAATGATCCAAGGTGACTCGGGAAAAAAGGTACACACATGAAATGCAAAAGCACATTTACCTAATGTAGAAGCAAATGAAGTAAAAGGGGTAGGAACTGACCTATCCATATGCTCGAGAGTCCTACTATACAGTTCCAAATGATCTCTGAAGGAGTTAATGATGTCTTCCTTGGGATCAGAACCACTAGGATGCTCTTGGGAAAATCCAGTAGCCAGATTATTTGGTTGGTAATCTTGTGCAGCCAAATTTGTAGAAGTAAATTTCTTCTGAGGAGGCCTCTTTGAAGTGTCTTGATTCTTGGTTGCCCACTTGGGCTTCCCCACTAACCCCCAACAAGTTTCTTGAGTGTGTCTAGGCTTTTGGCAGTGTGTGCACCACAGTTTGTCCTCGTCCTCACTTTTCCTTGATTCTCCCTTTTTCATTCCAATGTTACCCCCTCTTGCATCCAAGGCAACAAGTTACTCCCCCTCAGAAACATTCATTAGATTTTTTCTACTCTCTTCATATTGGACTAGGGCATATGCTTCTTGAACTAAAGGAAGTTCCCTACTTCCTAAAATCTGCACCCAAAGAGGCTCATAAGCAGGATTCAGCCCATGCAAGAAAGCAAATACTTGTTGTTGGGAGACAAGTTTTTTGTATGCTTGTGCATCCTCATCATTCTTCCACTCAAATAGTGATAATAGTCCAGCTCCTTCCAGACAGATGTAAGGATTGAATAATATGTAGATAGGCTACAGTCCCCTTGCTTACAAGTAGATGATTCTGCTTGAAGCTGATAAATCTTGGCAAAGTGCCTCTGTTCAGAATAGGTTGCCTGGCTTGTTCCAAATTTCATAAGTTGTGTCAGCCCATATGAAATTTTTCTTTACATGAGGCAGCATGGAACATAACAGCCATGACATAACCATGTTGTTTTCTTGATCCCATCGATCATGTTCAACAGTACTAGACTTTGGTTCTTTTATTTTTCCACTTATGTAACCAGCCTTCCCCCTAGCTGTGATATACAGTTTGATGCCTTTGGACCATTCTAGATAATTTAGGCCATCAAAGGGGGTAATAGACATAGAGAAATTCATGCTGTCCATTCCCCCATTTAGGTTTCCTTGATGGGAAGTAATACCAGAGATTGCTGAATCCTCAGTAGCCATTTTTCTCAAAAAACTTCACTGCTGATTTTTCAAAAAAAAAGACTGAGATAGAAGGTTTGTACTTCTGTAGTTTAAGAAGGCTCCAAATATAGGTTTAGCCAGACTGTAGGTCAATAAACCTTAGCCGAAAAACTTCAGCTTATAAGAGTAGGAGACAACCAGCCCCTACAACCTCAAGACTATGACATTCACAGTGGTCATACACTTAGATATGAATGTAACAGTACATACAGTGGTCATACACTTAGAAAAAACTTAGGAAAAAAAACTCCTTACTGCATTCGGCTTCCACCACAAATCTAGAAAAAACCTTTACTGCATTCGGCTGCCACCACAAATCTAGAAAAAACCTTTACTGCATTCGGCTGCCACCACAAACTTCTTCTTGGTACAGCGACCAAGAGAGAAGAGAGAAAAAAAAAAACAAAGACTGAAGGTTGCACCCAGATGAAGAACACGATGGAGTGTTCACCTCCTCTTCCAATCAAAAAAGATTTTCAAATGAAGAACACGATCTGAGAAGGTTGCGCCTAGATCAGTGCTCTGATACCATGTAGTTCGACAGTAATAAAAGAGAGAAAAAAGGAGAAGGAAGAGAGAAGAAAGAGAGTTTTATTCAGTTGTAAGGCTGGTGGCACCTAAGTTAATATTTATACTTAGGGCGACAGCTTATAACAAATAACATAGGAAAAAAGCAAAAATGCCCTTACTAGGCCGCCACATGTTACAACAAACCACACCAGCTCCAAGTTGCACCACTTCCAAATTGCAACCAAGATACAAATTCTGCATGGTGAAGCATATCCAACTCCGGATTTCATGGATGACAAGCTTATTGATTTAAGAACTTAATGAATGAAACATCATTTTTTTCTGAAGAATCTGAACAGGTTTTGGAAAAAAGAATTCCAAATTTAATGCAAAAATGAAACCCGGCTCCCCCAAGGGAAGTTTGGTAAAACAATACAAAGTCAATATTTTCTTGAAGACATTTTTGAAAAAAGATCTGCAAAGTTGTTAAACCGCACTTACCAAAGGACTCATGAGAAATAATACACCAAAATAAACAAGAAAAAGAAAAAAAAAATGAACATCTACATTTTAATGGTTTCTTTTATGGCAAGGAACTATTCAAAACCTACACTATCAAATTTGTACAAGGTGCCTTCTGCATTAAAACACATTCAAACAATCTATAAGACTATAACCTTTGTATGAAGTGCAAATCATCACTAGATATGAAGAATAACTAGAAAAGAAAGTAGGCACTGCAAGGGGAGGAACAAGGAGGGAAGTTAGAAGTAACTAATACCGGCAAGCCTTCCTCTCTAAATATGTCTTTGGTCGCTTGCAAGATACCAGTATACTTTGATGTTCCATACAAATCTCTGTGAAGCAAAGCCCATGAAGAAGTGGGCTCCAACTGAACCTGTCAATAGATACCAATGAGAATTTCCTCAATCCAGAACAATAGCAATCATAATGTAGATCAATATTATAGCCAGTAATTTTTTGAAACTTTATTTTGAATTGTACAATATTGATAGATAACGACCTTTTAACTAGTTTTCCCATCCACTCATTCATGAATTCCAAAGTTTCTCATGCTTTGATTTAGAATAAAATATTCCTTGTGCTTAGAAATAATCCTTTAGTCTATCCCTAAGAAAAAGAGGTGTTCCATTAATAAAATATATTAGTGATGCATATGCTTCTAAGGAATGGACCTGTGAATAATAACAACTAAGGTAATAATAAAACTAAGAGAGTCAAATTTACAGTGCAGTTGGCACTAACAACACCACACCCAAAATTTTAACCTCTTATAAATACTATTATTTATCCACAATCAATAATAGTTTCACTGTTACCGATCAAAATAAACACCACCGCATCCCAATAAGATAAAATTCTAGGAAGATTTATGGTGGGGAGAAGCTTTTGAAAGGTTCTTTCGCAACTATCTACTCCATTTCTTCCTTCAAAATAAAACCATTTCTAACTTTGCTTCCTTATCAATTTTTGGGATATCTTGGGAACTGTTTTTTATTAATAACATCTTGGGACCTTGATTTCAGGAAAGGATTGAAACATTTTAAACTTCCACCTACTTTGAACTTGTTGGACTCTTTAGGAGTTTTCCTTGAGCCTGCCATACCTGATCGTAGAGTTTGGACTCCTAATCCACTAGGATCCTTTTGTTATGACTCTTTCTTTAAATCACTTTTAACTTATAATTCTCAATAGACATTGCTGGTTAAAGAGATATGGAGTAAACCAATGCCACCAAAAGTGAGAGCCATTTGTTGGGAGGTGTTTTATATGATAATTAAAACTTGTGAATTGCTTTAAAGGAAAAGGCCAGATTGGTATCTATCTCCACATATCTCTCCTTTGTTATACAAGCAGCTACATACCATCTATTCATCTCTTGCTTGTTTGTGGATTAAATTTGGGAGTGGTTCTTTGCTCTCTTTGGTTGCAGGAGGTTCCTCCTTTGGGCTTGAAAAGCCCCTTTAAAACTTCCTTCTTCAATCCACCAAAGAAAAGAGGCAAGTGTATGTAGAGAAGCAATAGGCCACCAATGCTTTGGTCAATATGTGAAGAGAAAAATTAAGGCTTAGTTTGGAAGGAGTACAAATGCAAATATGCAGAGTGTAAAACCTTGTATTTTGTATTATTTTGTATGCATTTGTACTGTACATATTTGTATTTGTGCTCTTTCCAAACTGAGCCTAAAGAGTTTCCAGGGCAAAAATACTTTGACACTATGATTAGCATCTCCACTTGGTACAAACTTTGCATTCTCCCATCTGGATAAATAGGTGATAAAGAGAAAAATCAAAGAATTTCCAGGACAGCAATACAAATTTTACACTCTCTCATCTAGACAAATAGGTGATGCAAATTTCTCATCCAAAAACCAGTTTCAAAATTTACCACCTTCCTCCTATCTTCACTTTTTCTCATATGAAGTGGGGACCACTTGCACTCCCATGCATTTACACCTATTTGCATCTTAAATAAATAAAGCAAAGTAAAACCTGAAGCAAAATTAAAAAAGAATTTGTAGGCTTCCCAATTCACTCTCATGCATTTGCACCAGTGCAAATAAAAGTTGCACTGCAAGCAAAAGGAGCCTCATATAAATTGATTCAAATTTTTAGTGACAACCATTTATTGATTAGTTCCTAATTTCACAGTTCAGTTTACAACCACTCTCAGACTAATGTATTTTTTCTACAAGTGAATTATAGCATGGTATACCATGGATGAGAGGATCATTAGGTCAATTGTGGCTATCTTATGGGAAATGGATCCTTCAAATGATAAGTCTGCAGTAATAGAGATAGAAACAACATGGTTTTAGAGGACCAATGCAACTAGTGGACTACATTATAAAGACAATATTCACTCTTCAACTCATTTATTCAGATAAATAACTAGCCAGCCAAAAATGTGCTGAACTGCAGTATCCAACTTCTAAATTGTTTTTCCCATTTTCTTTTATTCTTTCTAGTTTTTATTTTCTTAATGTGCAACCGTTTGCACTGGGGCTCGGTCCCTTATTCAATGTATTAGCTATAATTCCAAAAGTAAACTCCTGAATGATCCATTGAACCGAGTGAGCTTTTACTGTTACATGTACACTTTTGAAGCAATAAGAGAAACAGCAATCAGCAACTTACCTGGAATCTAATCTTGATAACATCAAGTGGCGATGTTATCGTCCGAGAAATGCCACCAGATATAACTCCCGCCGTTGAATCTATCAACGCCCGTTTCAGCTGGCTCGGCTCTTCCATCAACCGAAAACCAGACCAAGTAAGCTAAAACCTAGTGCCGGTATCAAAACCAGAGCCGTGGAACAAATAGTCTCAACTCAAATCAACAACTTAAATTAACAAATCAAACACCTATCTTTGCTCTCTATATAAAAGAGAAACTTTTGAACAAAACAACAATATAACGAAATTCAGGCCCTAGATATAGACATGAAATGATGAATGTGTAGAATACATATTTGTTAAAGTGAGAGATTGAACGTATAAAATTCAGACATGGAAAATTGCATCGCTGAGATATTAAGAAAAAAAAAAAAAAGGAAGACACTACCCTAAACGCGCGAGGGGCAAAAGAAATATATGAGCCGCCATTGAAGGCGAGAAAATCTCTACTTGCCGCCTTCAACCGTTCAACGCAAGGAAATGGGAACTGTGTGAACTCAGAAGAGTTCAAGACTTGTAAAAGAATCGGGGAAAATGAACGAAAACGAACAACTCTTTTTTTTCTTTTTTTTTTTAACGCATGTACCTTCTCTCTGTTTGACGTCTTCATGTTTTCTATACATTTCTAACGTCTTCCGCTTCTAACCCACCAGAAGTTTACACGTGGCTGCCTTATGGAATTTAAATATGATCACTTGATCAAGCGTTCGCCACTCTGTCACATGAGCATGCGAAGTCCGGGAATCCGGATCTCCTGCTCCTGAATTGGGATCTGCTCCAGCGCGCCTCACAACCACATCCCACACTGGAACATCTCCCATGGATAATAAATACGGGTACGGGACATATTCTCAATGTACGGACAGGATATGATGTGAGGTCGTGTGAGGCGCATTCTATGAGGAGCAGATCCGGATTCAACAATCCTATTACATCTACCCACACAACGCAGTTTTACATTCAGAAATGAGAACATCTCCAATAAATCTATACTAGAGTGAATGCCCCTTTTTTCCGAAGTTTTCATTATACATTTTTACCCTTTTGTTTAAACATACAATGATATTGAAACCATGAATTATAACTGTTCAGAAACTACCCACTTAATACCTTAATTAATTTTTGGATAAATAAATTATAAATAATTTTGTCTCAGAGATATTGTACACTTATGGGAAATGTTCCCAATGCACACTTAGGCCCCATTCGCTTTTCGGTAAATTACTTACTTGGGTAAGTCTTTCATGGGTAAGTGCATTTACCCATATTCTTTTATTTCCCATGTAAATAAGACAATGACCATTTTAGTTATAAAAATTCATTATTACAAAAGGCATTTTTGTCCCATTCAAGTATCGGCAACTTCCCCCCAAGGTGGAAAAATTATTTACCTGATCCCCATTAACATAAATCTGAAAATAGAACATGGGATTCTTGGTCAATGAGAATCAAAATCCCATTGTCCAACTTTCCCCCTCTCAAAATCCAAAAAAAAAGTGCCCTTTTAGATGTGCATGTAGGACACACTTTGTAGGTGGCCAATACAAATTCCATTCCAACACCCTTCTAACTTGATTTGACACCATACCTCTCATATATGACATGTGTGTCTCAGATATGGAGTTTGGATATCTTCTTTAGAAAGTGTGCCTTACATAGACCTACTAACACATTTCAAACAACTCCTGTAATTTATGGTGATGCTCTATGAGGAGCATGCTGTGAAGCGGTATGAGTATGAAACATGCTGTGAGATTAGGCTAAGGCATGCTCTTTGAGGAGCAAACCGAACTCTTGGGACTTGGATATGGTGGGTCCAAGGTTAAATTTCAATACAATATCTATTGTATCTTTTGAAAATCCTATTTAGCAAAAGTGTTTTCGAGTCGCCATTGACGTAGATGGTTGGACTGTTTAGCTCAAAAACTATTTAGGTAACTGGTTTCGCTTCACCCTTAATTTGTTCATGGGCCCAAAACCATTAATTTTGTTAGAGAACCACTAATTCAAGCAATCGAACCGTCAACCTGTTCAATCTAGGCAACGGTTTACGGTTTAACAAGAGGTAGAGAAGGCCTGAGACAAGAATGATCTCAGGTATGAGATCATCCCAAAGAGAGAGAGAGAGCAGATAAATCAGATCTCATATCTCAAATCTGAGATGAAAGAGATACAATGCTGCATTTCTATTGTCGTCCATCGCCAAAGAACCTCAAATTATCCTCCTCCTCTTTCCCTCATTCCTTCATTTCTGTTGTTCATTTTCTTTTTTTTTTTCCTTTTTCTCCTTTTTCCTTTATTTATTTTTTCCTTCTTTTCTTTCTTTGTTAAAACATTGGTTTTCGAGATGAATAGTTCACGACCCTACTTTGTTAGGACAAAATCAATGTAACATCATTAGAACATTGAAATCAAAGCCTTTGACGTATTAATATAGTGCTACCTTACGACTTGATGGGCCACGATAATAAATCTAAGTCCATGATTTTCAATTTTGGCTGCGCAAAAGTAAATTTGCTGCAGGTCAAAACTTGGCAGTTTGAATGGGTTGAGTTTTTTTTTTTCTTCCAATGGTTAGAGCTTAACGTGTCAAACGTTTGACCTATAAATTAAGAGTTGCAGATAAGGCCATTAACGTTGAATCTTCACGGTCAAAATCTTGGCATTTGTTCCAATTATTTCAAATTATCCGTTTTACGTAATGTGATGGGTTCGGTTTTGTAACTTGCACCCCTTTAATGCTCAAATTGGGTGTGAATTTTAGGGTTTAACGGTATTTGAAAATCTGATTTTGAATTTGAGATTCAACACAATTAAATCAAATTTAGATAATTTGAATATTTGACCTATTAAATTTGGATATCTATTCATATTGAATAATTAATCAGATTCGAATTTGAATATGACCTAATTCAATTCGATAAATATTCGAATTTGATCGATTTTTTAATTCTTAAATATAATATATAAAATATTTAAATGTTTATATAATATATATAATTAAATTATATAAATAATTTATATATTTATTGATTACCTAAAATAATTAATTGGTCAAATTCAAATTGAATATTCAAATATTTAATCAAATTCGAATTCGAATTTGAATATTAATTTTCAATATCCGTTGGATACTAAATCAAATTTGGATGTCGGATTTTTTCTAATCGGATTCGAATTCGAATATTGTCATATTCAATTTGAATTCGAACCATTTACACCCCTAGTGAATCTGACCCATCTAATGCACTAGTGATCCGACTCCATCACATATAGACATGTTCATGGGCCGGGTAGCCCAATGGCCTGGCCCGTTATAAGTTGGGCTTGGTCATAATTTTAGGCCCACGAGCTCGGATTTGGGCCTAAAGCATCGGGCTGGGCCCGGGATTTCTCGAAAAGCCCGCCCCGAGCCCGACTTGAGATGCTTATTTCCAAGCAATAGTGAGATGCTTATTATTTTTTAGTTTTGAAGGTTTTTAATATAGATAAAACACTTTTTTATTAAATAAAAAAAGAAAAAAATTTGTTTTCAAATTTCTGGCCGAGCTCAGGCTTCGGTCTTTATATAAGGGTCAGGCTCGAGCTCAAGACCTAGGCCCAATGGTCGGGTCGGGCTCAGGCTCGGGCTTGAGTGTATTCTGTTGATACATATACAAAGCTCGGCCCAGCCCATGAATAGGTCTAATCACATATCTCCATTTGTATAGTGAATGTTCAAAGTTGTTTTTTTTTAAATCTTACTGAGGGCAATATTGGATTAGACTTGCCTACCTATGAAAAAATCAAAAATCCCAAACAACACCCATTATTTAGGAGTCATTTCACAACGTGAATTGTTTTTCTTGTTGTCAGTTCCAAAAATAAATCAAAACCATCTTATTTGAAAACCAATTGTTAAAATAAACACACACACACAAACATGTTCTTGGTTATGTGTATATTTTCTGTTTTCAAAACTGAAGCCAAAAACATGTTTTCATCAAATTATTCAACATCATTTTCCATAAATTATATATTTTTATATTAAAATTTTGTTTTGTTTTAAAAATCAATATTTTGTTGGTTCCAAAAAGACGTACTATTTTTGAAACAAAACTAACTTATTTTTCACTTTGAAAATAAAAACATAGTTCAACATGTTTTTATTTTTATTTTTTGCTGATATGGCAATTCCAAAAATAAATGAAAACAAAAACATTCATATTGTAGAATGCCCCTTTAGTGTATCGGGGCAAGGCAATATATGTGACAAAATTTTGAACCTTAATCAATAAATTCAATATTTTATATTTATATTTTTCATATATAAATTAAAATTTGAATACTTTTTGTAATTTAAATTCTTTGTCTATTTTATAAATAATGAATTGGACCTAAATTGAATTAGATTCCCAACCAACTTTTGATAGCATAATATGAAATTGACCAGAGACCATGGATCAAAACATATTTCCTGATCATATACAAATTTAAAGCTATGCTAATGGAGTTTGGATCTGCTGACCACAATACATTACTGGCCATATTCATCCAACCGCACATTGAGAATATTGGTGCATGATGACTACACCAACCGATGTTTCATATGTGCGCGCGGCTAGGGAAAAGTGACTAACAATGTGTTGTGATCAACAGATCCGGACTCATGCTAATGAGTGTATAGTTGGCTAAAAGAAAGGATCTAATTAGGAAGCAGGTGTTATCAATGGTTCTTTTTTTACTTGATTAACAAGTTGGCCACTATGTTTACAAAGTAATAGTTCAATAGCATTTTAACAAATTTTCAGTTTAATTATATTTTCCAATACATGCTTACAATTGGATTGTGAATTGTGAATTGATGGTAGGAGTCAATGAATTGCTAGTGCTCTTCCATTATCTACTTATATCACCACATATAGTGATATAATAGAATTTCTTTTTGTGAATTGATGACCCTGCAATGTAGATTTTTTTTTATTTGATAGGAAGATGGCTAGAGCAGAACAAAGGTGCACACAAAGTCGACTGACGTTGCCACGAATAACCTATGATTATACATGTTTGGTCTCATGCCTATTGAGGGGAACCAAGTGGCCATCTTAGAGGTTGTTTGTCACCGAGGCGTTGCACAAGTTATCCATTTCTTGGAAAATCAGAAACGGTTTGGAAAATGCAAACAATTGATTCTATTTAAAAAACAAAAAAAAAAGACTGGCAGGGCGTTTAAAGTGATTTAGCTTATTATTATAATATATTTATAATGACAATTGTATAACATTTCAGAAAGAAGTCAGATTTTTCAAATTTCAATGTGTCACGTTGCCTTTGCGATTCAAGATCACAGGCAATTCAAGAAACTTCAATTTAATGTTTCAAGAAACCCCTCCTTTCCCAAATCCCCAAGCTAATCATTGCGAAATTGTTTTTTTAAGAAACACGCTATCAAAATGCAGTTTTTTTATTGATTCTGTTTTTTTTTTCCTGATGTGACACTGAATCCATGTCAACATAATCAAATATCTCGTGAAACGCCTCAATTCCAAGCACCCTCTTAGCTATTGAGCCGATGGTTTATGCTCAATGAATAGATTGCTATGGG